GAGGACGAGGAGGAGGACGAAGAGGAAGAGGAGGAGGAGGAGGAGGAGGAGGAGGAGGAGGAGAAGGAGGAGGAGGAGGAGGAGGAGGAGGAGGACCCCCTCCCCCTCCAACTTATGGTGGTGGTGGTGGAAACCAGACCCATCAGACTTGGCATGCGCCCTGGCCGCAGGCAGCCCTGGTGCCGGGCGCGCCGGTCGCAACTTCGCGGCTGCACGCCGCCCTGGACGCCGTCTGCCACACGTCGGGTTCGTGTCGTGCCGACTTCGGCGCTGGCTTCTGACGCCACGGGGATCGCTCAACCTTGAACGATCGGCCGTTTCCGAAACGTCCAAATCACTCCCCGTCGAACGATCCTGGGTCGCCCGCGGCGTTCAAAAGGGAGCGCCGCTGGCGGGGTCGCCGCCGGTCGACACGACGCGAGCCTAGCGTGCCCCGCTGCGCGCTCCGAGCGTCGAGCGCGGCGGCACGGCGGAGGAGAGTCGGCTGCACCCAAGAGTGGCCCTGCTCCTCCTCCTCCTCCTCCTCCTCCTCCTCCTCCTCCTCCTCCTCCTCCTCCTCCTCCTCCTCCTCCTCCTCCTCCCCCTCCTCCTCCTCCTCCTCCTCCTCCTCCTCCTCCTCCTCCTCCCCAGAGAATGACGCATCCCACGCGATCCTGCGCGGCAAGGGCGGCCTCGAGTGCGCGGGCCATTGCCGCAGGGTGGCCCAACCCGAGCGCCCAGGCAGCCGCCAGCGCATCGCGCTCGGCGATCGGGGGGGCCCCTCACCGAGGTCACCCAGCGAAGGGTCACTCCTCACGTCCAGGCGGGAGAGCGCGGCGGGTCAGAAGGCGACCATCGCCTTCTTCTCGAAGCCCAGGGCGGCGAGGTTCTTCTTGCACGCGTGCTCCACCATCGGGGGAGGCCCGCACATCAGCACCAGCGTGTCGTCCGAGGGGGCGGGCAGGCACTCCTGGATCATGGCCGCGGTGATGAAGCCCGTCTGGCCCTGCCAGCCCGCGGGCGGGAAGTCCAGGGTGTAGAAAAGGCTGAAGCGCCCCCGGCTGGTCTTTGCCAGCTCGTCGAGGATGTCTCGGCAGAGGATGTCGTCCTCCGTCTTGTTTGCGTAGATCAGGCTAAAGCAGCAGGTGTCCTGTGGATCCCGCAGGGCTGCCTGCACAACCTGCAGCATTGGCGTGACGCCCGTACCGCCGGCCAACATTCCTACCCTGGTCGCTGTGACTGTCCTTCCCGGGAGCTTGAAAGCACCCCGCCCCATGTACTCGTTCAAGCCCAACGGGCCCATGATTTCGATGAAATCGCCAGGCATCTTGCTGTCCAAATCCGCCACCGTACCTCGAGGTACGAGCCCTCCGCTTGAGTGTTGTGATATTCTTCGGGTGTCAGCAGCCAGGAACTCCAGACGCTGCTGGCACTTCCCGCGTGTCCCCGCGTGCCTTTTCAGGGAGCCCAAAAGGGGTCAAGAGGCCGAGGCCCCCAAGACGGTCCAAGAGGGCCCCGAGACGGCCCAAGAGCTCTCCAAGACGCCCAAGATGGCCTCAAGATGGCCCAAGAGACCCCCAAGCTCCTAGAGGGCTCCAAAACCCCCCCAAAGAGGGCCCCAAGAGGAAAAACTGTTGGATCTCCATTCGGTGTTTGCAACATGTTGGCGGCGTTCTCGCCTTTTCTGGCTTCTGACGCTCCAAGACGGCCCAAGAGGCCCCCAAGATCGCCCCAAGACGGCCCAGTAGGCCCCCAAGAGGCCCACCAGAGGGCCCAAGATTGTCACAAGGCGGCCCGAAACGCTCCAAAGAGGGCCCCCAAAGGGGGAACTCCGCCTCAAGATGACCCCAAGAGGCCCCCAAGAGGCTCGGAGCCCCCAAGAGGCCCTCAGGAGGTTTCCAGGAGGCTCCAAGGAGGCCCCAAGAGGGCCCCACGAGGGCCCAAGAGGCCCAGACGGCCCACGAGGTCCTCACGATCCCTGCAAGAGGCCTCCAAGAGGCCCCCAGGAAGCTTCCAGGAGGCCCCAAGAGTGCCCCAAGAGGCTCTCAAGATGCCTCTTCATGCTCCTCCTCTCTCCTATTCCCGCCCTCTCCTCCTCTCCCCCACACTTCTCTAAAAGAGTTTCACGAAAGCTGGGGGAGCACATATTTCAATACCTTGGCCGAATTCTGGCCACAACGTTTGGCCATTTAGGCAGTTCCAAAAGGCACGGGTTCGCGGTGATTCGCCGTAGGCGTCTTCGATAAAGACCAATCTTGCCACCGTCACTCCAAGTGACCTCTTTCCTATAGGGCTCCAAATCGTGCACTACCAAAACTGATCTCCCCGCTCTATTCCTTCTCCTTACACATACTCCTCCTTGTAACACCTCGAGGCCAGTCGAAAGGGCGGGCCGGGCATGTCGCCTGAGACTTCCCCACCACTTATGAGCCTCAAGCTTTCAAATTGGCAACAGTTTCACAAATGGAGGGCGGGCCGCTTGCAAAATGTGGCGCTCGCCTTAGCGCCCCGCGAACTCGCTTGTTCAAAACTTGTACGAATCGACCCGTGGCTCTCGTCTTAGCGCCGCGCACACTCGTCTTAAAATTCTGCAAGAGCTTCACGGATTGAGGGCGGGTCGCTTTCAAAATGTGGCCCTCCCCCTTGCACCGCGCACACTCGTTCAAACATTTGCATCAGGTTCACGGATTGAGGACGGGTCGCTTTCAAAATGTGGCTATCGCCTTGGTGCCGCGCACACTCGCCTTGAACAGTTGCAAGAGCTTCACGGATGGAGGGCGGGTAGTTTTCAACATGTGGCTCTCGCCTTAGCGCTGCGCACAGTCGTTTTTAAATAGTTACGAGCGTCTCACGGATTCCCATGGTCAACGTACCAGCAATGGTGTTTTGGAAGGGCTTAACATTGTGAGGGTGCAAGAATTACGTTGATTCGCGGTGCTGAAGTTCCAAGAATTATGTTCTGGCGCGGTGCAGGATCGTCAAAACGCAGCAGTCAGGTTGGCGCGTAGCGTTGGAGTCCCGAGAATGGTGTTTTGGCACGCTTCAGGGTCTTCAAACGGTTGTCTCCCAACGAGGCAGTTCCCTCGATGGACATAAACCCTTGCAGGGGCCTATGAAGAGGGAGCTTGGAGGGAGGCTGCACTCCAACATCGTTGATGGGTCTTGGGTTTACACTGGTCCTCTACCTCCTCCTCGTCATCCCCCCCTTTGCTGCACCCCCTCCCCCTCCTTCCTTTATTCTTTCCTTCTCCCTCCTCCTCTTCCTCCTCCTCCTCATCATCAGCATGATCAACATCAGTGCCATCATCATCCTCATCCTCCTCTTACTCCTCATCCTCCTCCTCCACCTCGTCGTCATGATCATCATCACCATCATCATCACCACCACCACCATCATAATCATAATCAGCATCATCATCATCAGCAGCAGCAGCCGCATCAGCATCAGCACCAGCATCAGCATTAGCACCAGCTTCAGCATCATCATCATCGTCATCATCATCAGCGTCAGCATCATCAGCATCAACAGCATCATCAGCATCAACAGCATCGTCAGCATCGTCATCATTATCATCAGCACCATCAGCATCGTCATCATCGCCGCCGCCATCAAATCATCATCCCCGTCCACGTCACCATCATCATCAGCATCATCAGCAGCATCATAAGAATGATGATAGTAATCATCCTCATAATCAACAGCATCATCATCATCATCATCATCATCATCATCATCATCATCGTCGTCATCATCATCATCATCATCATCATCATCATCATCATCATCATCATCATCATCATCATCATCATCATCATCATCATCATCGTCATCATCGTTATCAACAGCAGCAGCAATAGCAGCATCATCGTCATCATCATCAGCATCATCATCAACGCCATCGTCATCAGCATAATCATCATCAACAGCAGCATCATCATCATCGTCATCATCATCCTCATTTCAACATTTCTTCGTCGCCATCATCATCATCGTCATCAGCAGCAGTAGCAGCATCATCAGCAGTAGCATCATCATCATCATCATCATCATCATCATTACAATAAGCGTCATCATCGTCATCAACATCATCAGCATCATCAACATAATCAGCATCACCATACTTATTACTATCAACATTATCGCATCCTCATCATCATTATCATCAACATCAGCATCAGCATCAGCATCAGCATCATCATCATCATCATCATCATCAACATCGTCCTCATCATCAGCAGCAGCATCGTCATCCCCTCTCCCTCCATCATCACCGTTCTCTCCAACTGTCTGTAAAGGAAAAGATGGCACTGGTGGTGTACAAAATTGCCCCCATGGATATCCCATCGGGCATCTTGGTCGAACCGGGGCGGTAGACCTTGATCACGAGGTCAACGTGGCCAGGCGTCTCGTTACCTGTCACCGGCGTGTACTTCCTCTCAATCTCCTGGTTGCCTCTATCTGGATCGGGTTTGCCGTTCCAGGTTCCATTCTTGAGGCACGTCTCAGGGTTGGGTGCAAAGATAGTGATGTGCTTGCCCACAGGAAGGCCCAAAATGGTATCCGGCGCTCCCAGGGATATCCGGAAGAGCTTCGTGTCGGGCGACAGCTCCCTCACCTCGGCAATCCTCGCTCGTTTCCGCTCCCGCGCCAGAAAAACTCTGCGCTTCTTCGGCCAGATATACCAGAGCAGAGAGACGCTGAGAGTGAGCACAGTGACAGGAACGGCCAGCCTTGCGACCGCGGCCCTGTCCATGCTGGCGCGCAGGCCGATTCACAAAGCACAAACACTCGAGCCACTACTGCGGCATTTATGGCATCAGACCCAGCACATGTCAAGTAGGCTGGTCTTTAACAGGGGGGCGTATTGACCGAAACTGTACCCGAAAATCTGCCCGAGTGTGACCGAAACCAGCGCCCGAAGTTTTGGAACGTGCCCGAGTCTGACATTCTTTGTTCGGAACCAATACGACTTACCATTTCGGCCACAACTTCGGTCACACTACGTTTTCGGTCCCGACTT